GACAGGCTCGTCTTCGCTTAGAGACTGCAGTGTCATCGCATCCCGCACGGGATACCGTGCCCGACGAAACGGAGGTGAAAAGTATAGCGGGTTCCCTCGGTTCTGAGGGCGTTGGGGGAAATACCAGGGCAGGAGCTCGCCTCTTGGCAGCGTCCCGCCAGTAGCGCGAAGCTGATCGGCAGCGCCGTGTCCCCGGTTTAACTCCCAGTGAAGTCAAGGATGAAACAGGCTCTCAAAAATTTATCCCTCGAATTGTCATCTAACCTTAGCACCACTTAGCTATGATGTAGGCGAAGTTAAAACGCGTAGCGTCTAGGACAGCACGGCAGTGAAGTGTGGAGTTAGAAATAACGACCGTAATTAGCTTCCCTCTTCTGGATGCCGTTTTTGTTTTGGTTGGTTGTTTTTTTTTTTTAAAGCGAAGTGGGAATAAGAGTTACTTGCTTTGGAGCTTTGTCAGGTGAGCGCCTGGCACAGCTTTCCAGGGGAGCCCTGGAAAAGAAAGGTTCAGCAACAGGAGCCCGTGCGGGGAGATCACAGCACCTAACCAGAGATTGGGAGAAAGACCTATTTCAGAGTAGCTCAAGTGGTCATTCAAGAGTTATATGAAAAAAATACATGAAAGTTGCTTTGTGTACTCCCCTGGTGATTTGGGTACTGTACCTGCACTGTCTGCTGTTTTATTTGCTTCCTCACCTTTGAAAATGCAGGAAGTGTCACTATTTGTGGAGCTGAACTCTGAAGGTTTTGTTGTTGGAAAAAGCTGAATTTGGGTGGCTGACAGGAGAACTTTGAAGACTTCACTTTATTTAAACTAATATCCGTAAATGTTCATTACCTGTATTGAAAACAAAGGATTACATGGCTGACCACTAATGATTTTTCCATAGAATACTTTTAAGATACGCTGTCTTGATAATCACGAGGACCTGCTTCTTGTGTGAGAGGAATTACATCTGGATTTGATAATCCTGCCTGACCCAGAAGAGATTTATTTCAAACTAACTTTCTTCTTGTATTTTTAAGAATATTTTGTCTACTATCAAAATACAAAAAGCCTGAAGCTGACTTGAGCGGCCTTTTTTCTTTTTTCCCAAGCAGGCAAATACTTATTTTTTCCCCTGCACACCATGTTATAGATACGTTATAGGAGACTGAGGGTAAGGGCAGGGGAAAAAAAAAAGATACTAAATGGTCTCTCCCTTCCCTGAGAAACCAAGCAAAATTTCTCCTAAGTAGGAGAGCTGCGAGGGAGCCCTTAGGTACTGTGAGGATATGACCTAGGCAACACCTGTTTAGCCAAAAGGAAAGTCTTCAGATAAATAATGATGTAAATATGAGTGAGATTAGTCGAAGGCTCTGAGATAATAGAGATGGGAGTTATACAACCACCAAATTACTTACATTTCCAGATTCAGTATGAAGAAAGTAAGGAACTGATACTATCGGCATAAAACCTACACCTACACATTGCTGTGCAGATGCTGTACTAGCTAGTTGTCACCTCATGTGCGTTGTTAAACTTGAGCCATGAAACCCCACAGCAATTACTAGTGTTACTGTGGTACTGGTCCACATAATTTGCTGTAAGACGTTCTCACGTTGGATAATATTAGATGTCCCACCCATGGTATATAAATAACCGATGCAAACTATGTAAAAGGAGAGAGAGTATTTGAAACCGTGGCTTTGAAGGAAAACGAATGTTCAAATTATTCTATTGCATGACATCTAGACAAGATGTGCCTTTCCTCTGCCTCGTGTCGTCAACTTATTTCATTTATTCAGCTGTATATTTGGGTGCTTCAAGAATAAAGGCATTATATCCATGGAAAATCAGGTCCTGAGATGAAGTCTGAGTGCATATGAAACAGGGATGTAGAAGGCTAAGCATGTGCTGGCTTAGAAAAATATTCTTGGGTGCTCTGGGTGATACTGGTCCTCAGCTATTGAGCAGTATTGAGCAAAAGTGAGACACTGTCCAGGAGCAACCCCTAGCTTTACAAATCACTCCTGCAATGGTCTGATCCCCCTAGCTCTCCCTACAAAGAAGGTGCTTACCATCAGGCTGGGCGCTGCCTGTTTGATGTTATGAAGCCCTAGCTCTGTTTAGCTACGGGCATTCTGTAAATACAATAATAAACCAACTAGTCCTAGGGAGGGTTTCAGCTAATCGTCATGACCCGTGGTGTCTAAAAATCTCCTGCTCCCTGATGTTAAGGGAGCCTGTTTGTAAATAGGGCAGGTCCCCTGCATAAGGACAGTGTTTTTATTCACACCCAATGAACAAACACCTCCACCCACTGTTGTTGTTTTAAAAGACTCCAGCTGCTCATGAATATAGGGTCAGGGAGGGCCGCCTAAATGTTTCTCTGTGCTTTCTCCCCAGCGCAGCCAGCAGAGCTGTTTCCTGTTCTTTGTTTCAAGGCTGGGGTTTGCGTCACACATTCCAAGTGGCATATGTGGTGCTCTTTCCTGTTTCAGGCTGTTTTCTGGCAGATCGGTAGCCTCGTCCAGGCCCCTTGTCACTGCCCCTCAACTCCCAATCCCCACCCAATGAGTTATCATGTCTCTACACACTCACGATTGCTTAAGATGCCTGTGTTATGTCATAATGAGGTTTCCAAGTTAACCTTTAATGCACGCCCTCGACTCCAATATATTTATGGGGATGAACTGGAGAGCTTCACTCCCGTCGCTGAAAACTTGCACTCGAGTCTCCAGAAAGTTGTGAGCCAGTTTCCTGCGCTTGCTTGCTCATCAGCCGATCTGGAATAGCTCCATTAAAGTCACGGTGTTACACTGGTGTAATAAGTGAGAAGAGAATCTGCATCTGTAGGCTCATACTTGTAAGAGGGTTTTGGCTTCTGCCCTTACCCAACCTGAATGGCCCACCATAAGCACTTTGTATTTCCAGATCTCAAAAGGAACAGATATTTTCTCCTTATACAAGCTAGAAGATTCACTGTCTTCCAGATGTAACACAGAAAATGAGGCACTGCTGGCTAACTTTTCTTTGGAATAAATAGGTATGGCTGTCTCACATTTCTGAAGGCATAAAAATAAATTTTTTTCTCCTGTTTTTATATTTGTCTTGTCCCCCCACCCTGTTGCAGGCAGACATAGATAAACATCGAGAGGAAATTCAGAAAGAGAACATAAATCTTTCTGTTGCTTTGGATCTGACAGAAGAAGAGCTAAAGGACCCAAGCCAAAGCTCATTGAAATCAAGAGAAAGACTTGCATTAACTTCAGTGGGCTTTCAATCAGGCCCTGGATGAAAATGCAAGATGGAATGTTTATTCTTCTCTGTCACTTACGGGCCAGAATATGCATGGTTTCTGTACACACAGAAATACTTCCACCCTTTTCATTTTACCCCTGTTTTATTTCACTCGTTTTTTAAGTATTCTTTTAGTTCCTGCTATTGCTCTTTTGAATACTAAAAGCTAGCTGTTTGTGATCATTGCAGGTATCTTTTAAGAAGTATCCGAAATACATGCTTTAAACTTCCTCTTTCAGGGCTTAATTGTATGTGAAAAATAATTTTTACTGAATTACGTGCATATCCTTACATCAGCTTGTTTTTTGTCTGTTCAGAAATCCAGGTAACAAGAAGCATTTGGCCACACAGTTTTGGTAAGTTGTTTATTGATTATTTTCATTTGTTACTCTCAGTTGTTTTTACTTCACTGTTTTTCTGTTAATTTCAGAATATCAGGGATGAGTTTATCCATTGGAACCCGATTAAATATCTTAATTCTGGTACTGTTAATTTGCACAGGATTTCAAACATACTTAATCTTTTTTCCCATGACAGAGGAAAAATGTTGCATTTAACTGCATTTAATATTGGAAACCGGTGTATAATAAATGCAGTAAATTTTGTGGTTCACAGCTTTTTGTAGCCAGAAGTTCTACAAAATCAGAGACTGAGATTAAAATTATAATAGTTTTGTAAACCAACTTTTTAATATTAATTAACACCGCTAACAGGAGGTCTTTTAGAGTTCTTTTATGCTGTCAGCATTGAAGCTTTGTGTTTTCATTCCGAGGCTAGTTGCTACCAATCCAGAATATGAAGTTTGGCAGAGCTGGTTTTAGGAGAGATTTAACCCTTCCCTGTTAAGCATTCACTTGATGCCGAGACTTCCTTTGAGGGTTTTGTAGCCGTAGTGGATATCTCCTAGGGGAAGGAAGTGTAAGCGTAGATCAGCCAAATGGAAAGATAAAGTTCTAACAGGTTTTTAATAGTAAACTAAGTCAGAATGGAAAAAAAAACCGTGTGGTCTGCCTATCATGCAGTCAGTGTGTGTTACCAACAAACTAACTTGATCCATGAAGGCATGACAGACTTTCCACTTTTAAAGAATCTAAACTGCTTTGATCACTGTCTCATTTGTACCCACTACACTATCCAGCTCTTCCCCCTGGTTTTTTTTTTCCACTTCCGTAGGTACACAGAAGTTCATTGACATTTGCCTGTATTCAAATCCTCATTCAAATTAATTGCTTAGGCTATTATTCATAAATATACACTTCCTTTCTTTAGGATTAGATTTTTTTTCTTCTCCCCCATAGTATCAAAAATCTTGAATCTCTTGTTTCATATTTTTCATGAAATAGCAGAACGTAAGAGAACAGCATTTTGTGTCATTCTTCCCTCGTAATAAAAAGACAGGATTTCTATTTCTTCTTTTAAATTATCTTCAAAATTAACCTCTTAAGAAAAATACAACAAAAAAACAAAGTTCAGTTTGGAAAGGAAAGATTATCATACCATTCCACATACTTCACTTGTTTTCGAAAGTCTGATCTTTTATCCTTACTAGACTGTTTCTCCTTCTAAGAAGTAGCTTGAGACAGGAAACCAGACAGCAGTCTGCCCTGATAAGGGAGAATATTGTCTAATGGAGGTGCCTCAAGAGCTTTTCTTTCTCTCTCTCTTAGGTTCAGTAAATGTAAAACTGAAGGTTGAACAGGCTTTACGTGGGCTCCATTTTTCCTTGGTAGAGAAGACATTTTCTTAACGAGCACTGCAAGAACTTTTTTGCCCAAAATTTTTACATACAAGAAAGACATTTCCAGGCATGTGGCTTCAAAAAGCCTGCAACAGTATTTTTACAGTAAATTTAATGGAAATACTGATTAGTCTGCTACACAGCTGATAAATTATGTCAAAGCAGTTCTAAGTCAAACAAAGTGACGTCAGCAAAGTTAGGATGCACAAGTTGTGCAAAACCCCAGATTTTTCAGCCTGCTTGCAGTTCTGAAAGGAGGAAGGTAAAAGATTTTCAAGTCAATAAAAAGCAAAAATAGTCTGAAATACTAAATAACAGAATCCTACAGAAATACTCTTTTTCTTTGGGCCTATCAAGTAAAACTTTCAGCAGAAAATTTTTGTCCAGGTAGTATTTTCTTTTTACATGATATCCTAGCTTTTTCAACAGTTATTACCGTTTCCCAGTGGCAATCCAGCAAATAAACAAACATAGAAGGCTGTAAATCAGTAAAACGTTTTCTTGGTGTACTAGTTCTTCATGATTCTCCCCCTGCTCTGTTCTTCAGGGACTGGCTGCTCCAGTCCCTTCCCCCAGCACCGTGTCTGGGCCTTGCTGCTTCCCCTGCTCTTGCTTTGACTGAGTCTGACTGCTCTGCTGAGCTGGAGACTTTCTTTGCCTGCTGCTATTTTGGGGCCCAGTGCAGTTAAGCGCTTGCTTACTTCCCATTAAAGTTAATGGAACTTTAGAAACGTTTTTTTGCTGACTCAGGTCTTGATGAGCAACTGGTACAGTAAGTGCAAACACATCTTGTTACTAGCCCTGGAAAACTCTTTTCCTACCCTTTCCAGGGAATCCTGCTCTCAGAAACTGATTTTTCTCTGTCAAGCTCTCTTTCAAGGTTAAACTGAAGAAGACTTCTCACCCAGGTTCAGAAAACCTCCCCACCCTTTGGATTTTGTCAGTGGAGAGTCTTTTGACGTTACCACTTCTCCTTAGTATCAGGGGAAGTTTGTCTTGAGGCTCGCAGAAGTAATAGTTTCAGAGCAACAGCCTAAGTCCCAAAGGGCTTGGACTGAAGAGCTTTGGCCACATGACTTACGTTGGCAGCTAGACACTGCAAGAGCTGCAGTGTCTTTGTGGAGGGCACTCATGCAGTGCTAATTTAGCAGATATCATCACATTATTCTGTAATTATACCAACAATAACAATCATACCTTGAAGCTTCTAGACAAAGCCTCACTGTACCAGAGGGCAGCATTCCTTGCTTCCCCCAGGCACAAAGATGGAGAAAGCAAACCCCGAGCATGCTTTCACGCAGGGTGAAGAGAGGCAGAATTTATGGGCACCACCCCCCTGTCCACAACAAGAGTATCTGTCAGGTCACTGACTGTTCTTCCAGGTATTTAATGAGAGCAAAGGCTCTATGTTAGAGGGAGGCTTTGTAGTTGTTGGATGTGCACAGTCAAAACTGGTCCTGCACCCCACCCCTTCCTTTCACAACAGGTCTGCAGAGTTGGTGGACCTTGAAGGTAGATGTACAGAGCTGCTGGGAGTAGCTGCAATGTGGTTGCTCTTCTCCAGCTGCTTTGCAGTGCAGATGTGTAGTCTGAGTGCATTCTTTAACCGCTTTGCTCATTTCTTCCAGGGTAAATAATCTGTACAAGTCCTTCTTGTCAGAATACGCATTAAGTACCTTTAAGCTTTCATTCACACTTAATTACATCTCTGAAACAGTAAACCATGCCTGTCAGGAAGTTAATATCAAGAAGTCTTCAATCCTGACAAGGCGGTGAGCTCTACCAATGATGAACTTCCTTTCTGAAAGGGATACTTCACTGCATAAGGGCAGAGTTTGTGTTTTTTCTGGCTTGCTGTCTTCACTGGACTTCAGATAGGAGAATACTGAGGGACTTTGCCTGGACTTTACCTTACACCTGTCCTTATTTGCATACAAAACCCAATTGCTTCATTTGTCTTTCTGAAGTACAGGGTGTGAGCAAAATCTTATCAAAAGCCATGTCCTGTTTGGACAAGTTGGACTGACTTGGCAGAGATCCACAGGGTGGAGTGAATGGGAGGAGGCAAGAAAGTAAAACTGGGTGGCTTGTTAGCAGAAAAAGAGAGGGAGAGCAAAAAAAAGAGAGGGTGGAATGTTTGCCTACCGGATTGTAGTTAATTATTTAGTTTCAGATTACATGCATTTTAAATTCTTTTAACCCACATGAAAAAAACCCTTTAATGCAAAACAGTTTATCTAACAACGTGAAAGACAAAGGCCCTTATTTTTTAATACACTTAATATTAATATATTGTTGTCTCCTCACTGTTTCTTGCAGGGTACCTCAGGAATGAGAGACGGTATTTTTGATTTTCCAGAAATTAGTTTATTTACTAAATAATTTGTGGGCTTTCAAACAAGTACATTATGAAATCAGAGTGTAAAGTAGAATCCAACTGTTTTTTCATTCTTCTGTAATAGAAACAGATAAGGCTGTTTACCTTCCCTATTGCCCCCTTCTCAAATGTTTAGGACAAAGATCGGGAGGTTTTGAGTTAGTAGGCATGATTTTACAAATAGACCGGGAAAAACTACTGACTTTTACTAGAAGTAGCATGCTTTATTTGTGTGTGAGTGTGCATGCATGTATTTTGTGTGTGAATGTGGTCCAAGCAATCAATTTGGAGCATTATTTTTAAATACAAAGAGAATTGTTTTGTGAATTTATTTGCAGCCTTAGGAAAGTGTCCTTCTGAGCTAACTTTTAAATGCCAGACCCAAAGCTGGTTTATATTGACTCTATAGCAGCTCTATCAGTTTCCACCAAATAAGAATCGGACCTTCTGATCTGGACCGACAGGACCGAGTGTTATATATTAATTAATTTTCTGTTCTTGAAAATTGGTTTCCAGTCACTATCAGATCGGGAAAAGAAACCTACTGCTTAAGAGTAACATGTGATAAAGAAAGAAGTGCTCCACATCTGTATATGATGCAGCAATAAAAGTAACATTTTTCTCTGCTGTTCTTAGATGATTGCATCTGAGAAAGATTGAGAATTACTTTTCACTTTCATTCAGGGCATTACACTCTCTGTTGTCTATGTCAGTCTAATTCCTGCACAGTAATTTAGAGCCCTCTCAGGATACACTCAAATGTATAGCATGACATGTGAAATGTGTATCGAGTGTCCTTCACACACTTTCTTGAAGTAAAAAGTGAAAAGGAGTGACTCTTAAACTAGAAGAAAAAAGCCAATTTTAAAACAACAAAAATGACAAGAGTAGCCAGGGAGCATGACTGCTTGCTTAAAACAAACTCATTCTTTCCTTCTCTCTCT